CAAATGAAATCAATAATCTAAAAAGAAAATAATGTCCTTTTCAACCCCCCACTTCAATGCAAGGTTTGAGCTCAACCCATTAGCAAAACAGACAGAACGAGACAACAGCAGCACAACTTGTCGTCATCCTCTTCACGTATACTAAGTAACCTTGAGAAACATTAATAATGTAAGCAAAAACATAATAAATCAAAATTCTTCAGTTACTAGTGATTAAAGTGAGAGTATAAAAATCAATGTGCTGGTAGGTAAGGTAAGGGGTAGTTTGTAGTTCACATGCAACAACTGACTGTCATGCTACAAGTAGCAAGCAAGTACACACTCATCTTGTTTGGTCGCATATTCTAGCAAAAAAAATAAATAATGAAAAAAAAATAAAAGGGAAAAAAATCTGAATATATAAAGCCAACCTCTCTAGCATCATATCAGCACCATCTTAGTGTTCTAGTGTGATGTTCACTATATTTGTTCTAATAGTGTGCATGTTCCATTATTTACTTGTCCTTTTAGCTTTCACATCCATGCTACAGAAATGAACATGAGACAAAGTTTTTTTTCTGGTATTCTATTACTGTGCATTCTATTCTTGAATACTAAAAACACTCAGAATATAAGAGACACTTGATGCTAAAACTTAAATGCTTAACTGAATTTTTAATAAAGAATTCTAACAAATACAACACAGGATGCCTGAAGTATCTTCCCAAACCTAAAGACAACTGGCTAGGTATAATGTCATACTGAGTTTTGCAGGTTTTACTGTAATATGAGAAAATAAATTAAAACACAAATAAATATTGCACAAAAGTATTCACTACATGCACCTACTTAACATCTACATGACTAGAACACTGATTTGTCTGATATGAAACCTAGAGATGAAGGACAAACCTAGTTTTAGAAATCCAAGTGTGCAAAGTTGGCCACACAGGACTTGTTAGTAGGTGTCACATTTCACATGTGTGTCCTCGTCTTATAATTTTCTATCCACATTTTTACAGAAAAAACTGGCACAAATCCAATTTCTTACAACAGCTTGGGCCACAAAAATACTTTTAAACTATATGGCTATTTCAACCTGCATCAGACAAGCAGATCTTGTCAATTGTTCTGTATTTATCAAATACATCAGAGAATCAGTAATAGAAGACCCCACATTACCAATACTGAGCCATGTACAGTAATCTTGTAAAGCTCACTATACAGAGGACATCATAAAGATAATGAATATCATCTCCATATAGAAATGGGTTCTGTATAACTGCTGCCATTATGAAATATAATGAAAAACAGTAAGATACTTAACATTAAACACATGCTAAATAAGGAAAGAAATTAGTCATACAACAAAGATACTTTGTTAATGATAACTGAAAAGCAATATTGCAGTATCTCTTATCACATGATACTTGCAGTTCTAAGCTAGAAAGCAAAAAGATACTAAGCTCACATAAGCTCCTAAATATTCATAAATTGCACATGTATCTACTAACTTTACATTCAACAAAGTGAGTGTGCAACATGATGCATGCCCTAGGTAACCTTTGGAGACAAAATGATAAATTAAGGGTAGGTGGCCCTATACCCTTAAGACCTATCCAGCTCCTTAAAATCAAAAGCAGTCAATAAAAATTAAGTCAAATCTCTTCAATTGTAAGATAAACATAAGAGGTATTCATTAGTATGCACATGGAAGGAATAAATAAAAACTTATACAATTAAATCACAAGTGTCTTGGGAGCAGAAACAACTAACACAAAGTATGAACTAAAGTTACCTAGGGTAAGCATTTATGTAACATTAAGTCTATGTTTGGCACAATACTGCAGTTTGATAAAATTGCCTAGTAGAAATGCAACGAGCACCATATGGCTCAAAATTAAAACAAACCATACATGACTAGTTTTATGGGCGCTAGTAAGCCAGGCTTACTATTTTATTCAACTTCATAAATATAAAAAATATGAAGACAACGAGTTTCTGTATTAAAGATATATTTCCTTGTTAGAAACAAGCATGCTGCCATCCAAAAGTTATGTGACTAGAAGGAAAAAAATTTTGAAGAAGAGATAACTCAAATGTGGCCTTACATTCCAGCTTGGATGTCATTAAATACTTAGCAACAGCTCGCCAATCAAGGTTAGTTGCATAAATACAACATGAAATTTATGACAGCATCTTACATGAGAGTTTGTGGGAGTTCTGAAGAGAAAATGCTGACCACCTCATTTATTCCAGCTCAAAAAATCTAATTATGGAGTGCACAGGGTAAACATAGCATTGAACGTCTCTGCCACTACATGCTTTGCTGTCCTGTTCTTCGGCTTGACAACTCCACCAGTCAAAGGTGCTGGTACTTCTTTACATTGAGGTTTTCTCTGTTTCTTTAGCTTGCTTTGTTTGCGAAAGAAACTGTAAGTCCGGACCAATGATGTAGCCTCATCTTCATCTTCAACATCATTTGCTGCAGTCTGGTGGTTTTCATTGATAAGATTGCTCAAACCCTTGTTGTCATCAATGTTTGCTTTATACTGATTTGGGTTATATTCTCCAGCTTCAGCATCTGTGTAATACTCAGTTGCAGATGGGTCTTCATCAGCATCATCAGGACTTATCGACGTACATGATTCAGAACTGACAAGAGGAGCATCATACATACCAAAGGTCAACTTGCGCTCTAAAGTATCCAAGTCGGTATCAGTGTCTGATGTGAATCTTTCCTTGCTAACCATTTTCTCATATTCAGGAGAGACAACAAAGCGAGTGAACAGTGTGTCACTTAGAAGTTTTACTGGTGGATTCTTCTTTCTTTTTCTTTTGATGCTGAGTTAGATCTTGATGGCTGGCTGGTTAATGGAACTGATCTTGCTTGACCTACAACAGGTACTGGAGTTCTTGCCTTACTAGTTACTGGAACTGCAGCTTTAGATTGATTGGCTGCTAATACTGTTGACTTGGGTGGTGATGACATTCTCTCTCTTGGGGACATCGGAGAATAATTTTTTATGTTCGTTGGACGCTCATTCTGGTTAACCTGACTGACAACAGGTTCACGGAATTTGACGTGATTATTGACTTTACTACTAGGCACAGGATCTATTGCATTTTCTTTTGATACTCCAGGAGAGCTGTTCCTGGAGTTCAAACTAACCTTTGGAGACTGGCTTCCTTTATTATTCGTGCCTACAGAAGTTGGAACCCTTGATCTATTTACATATGGTGAGCTCTTTCTTTCAACAGAAACAGGCACTTTGACTTCTTTTGGAAGGTTTCTTAATACTGTTTTATCAGCATTTAATTTGGTAACAGGCAGGCTTCCTACCCCAGAATTGGCCAGTGGTTTCTTTTCTTGGGCAAGGGATGGCTTTGGGCTTCTTGGGATACTTTTATCAACAACATCATCTTGTTCTTTAATTTCATTTGCTGGGACAGTGCTCTTCAATCGTGAAGGTCTACAACCTTCCCTCTTGGAATGCTAATTTTTTTCTTTGGTAAACCTGATAATTCTTTTGGTTGCACTGGGTTAACTGTTCTTTTTTTTATGCTTTGTGGATTGAAAATCTGACCAACTTTTGAAAACTATTCTCTTCTGCATTTCTATGATTATCAGAATGTTTATCAGTGTCATTGAAAAAAGGTTCATCTTCCAGCTGCTTATCATTTTTGTCCTGAAGTACATTTCTTTCAGGAGATTTTTGTCCCTTTTCCTGAGCAGAGGCTCTCCCAACCAGCACTGACTGTGCAATTGGTACATCAAGCACACTAACATTTTGGTCAGCAAGAGCAGTGGTTATTAACGATGTTTTATTGGCCCTGCTACGAGTAGCATTTATACTGTTTGGCAGTCGTGGAGAGTTGTGTGGTGTGGGGGATTCAGGAGGAAGTGATGTTCGAGAAAAACCTGAGCTTGACCTACGGCCCTGAGGAGATGACACTGGAAATGGGCCTGTGTTGCTGTACGTACGAAGATACAGGGTGATGATGTACTCAAAGTGAATGAATGTATCACTCCTTCCTTTGCTGGTTTATAAGAAAGACCAGATACTGCATTTTGTTGAGATGATTCAGTGCTTGCAGTGCAAAATGAAGAGGTAATAAGAGTGAGAGGAGAACAAGTAGGAAGTGGTGAGAGGGGTGGAGAACCAGGTAAAGTTGGAAGAAGAGATGGTGGTGTAGGAGAACTTGGATTCTGATAGTGATATGGGGAAGAATATGAACAAACAGTATGGGGTCTTGGTGGTGGGAGAGGGGAAATACAGCAAACTCTACCATTTTCTCTACCACTAACTTCACCATTATCCTCACCATGAGAGGCATGTGGGGAACAGCAGTGCATACAGGATGTATGTGCTGGGTGAGAGTGATGCATCACTCCAGGAGAAGAAAGTCTCTGACCACCAAGTGCTGGTAAAATGTCACTCACATGATGAGTTGTGCATTCTTCAACTATTGAAGGAATTACTGGGCTCAGACACCTAAACACACCTGAAACTCCAGACTCCAGTGTACCACAATAAATTCCAGAAACACCAGAGTCCAGAGTTCCTGAATAGTCTGGTGAATGGCCACCTGTGCAACCACTGTCTTCACAACCTTCACAGCTGCTGGGAGAAGTACGGCAGCATCCACTGTCCTCATTGGTGGGTGAAGGGGACATTTTGAATTCATGAATGTGACGGATAACAATAGGGCTCTCTTTAGAGGTCTGGGTGGCAAAAGAAGTGAATGAAGGGACTGTCAAGGGTGGAAGTGATCTAGGTTGTTTTAGCGGTAGTGTTGATGACAAAAAGTTAGCAGGAACGAGCCCTTTGGGCTGTCTTAAAATTAGTAAGTCTGACTCACTAGCCCATTTTAAATTTCTCTTAAACAACTTCATTTTCCTGTTTGGGTCAACACTGAAGTATGCATCAAGAAGGGAGAAAGTGGAGTTGGATGGTGGGGTTGTAGACCCTGGCCTGTGGATGGGAAGGTTCTGGTTTATCTCCCCTTTGGAATCCCACCTGTTCTCCTGTGTTAATGAATTTTGTCGCTCCTGAAGATCAGAAACCAAAGTCTGCAGCACTGGCAATTGTTCTGAGCTGTCTCCTTCTGCTGCACGCTGTTTCAGCATGCTGTTCTCATGCTGAAGTCTTATTAGCTTTTGCCTGTAAAGAAAAACAAAACAGAACATAAATACCAGATTAGCTTCCTATCATTATGAAACAACAGCAAGAATCATAAAAGATGAAACATCAACATCATCATTCTTTTACCTGATGTCATGTGGAATAACCTCCAGTAAGTCAACATCTGAAAGATCTGATGGAGGGCGAGATGTTGTGTCTGGTGAGGTCAGTGTAGAGATGTGACATCTCAATTCTTCCAAACTTTCTTTGAGTTGATCTCGTTCCATTGTAAGTCGCTGGAAAATTAGGTCAGATTAAAATAAAAACAAAAATGATCTAGTAAAGTCTCACAGTCCTAAAATCAAATTTAAATCAAATTACTACACAGTTAATATAATCTCTGAAACACTGGAGTGATAAAAAAATATATAATGAAAATGAAAAAAAGAAACTAAGGCTTATTACATTTCTAGGTAATGCAATGATTAACAAAATATACATATATATCATCAAAGGGAATGATAAAGAATGTGAGAGACCTACAATAAAAAACAAGTCAAACTCTATGTTTCTCTTAAATTAAAATGGTTATAGCAGATGGGAAATATAAATTACATCTTTCTCCTGAGTAATGGCTTCCATTTTTTCTGCAAGTTTCTTGTTCTCAAATATCTGACGATCTGTCTTTTTGGCCTCATCAGCTAGTTTCTGGTGGAGTTCAGCAACTTGCTTTTTGTAGAGATCCAGTTGTGGTCTCCATGTTCCACTCTTTTTAACCTCCTGTTAAGGTGAATGTGGAATTAAGACTAGTACTTCCTTAACATTATTATAGTAAAATATGACAAAATGTTGTAAAATGTTAATCTATAAGAAATCTAAGGCTCTGAAGCCTTGATCTTAAATCATTCAAAGAGCATAATAAATGAAAGGGAAGGGAAATAGCTGTACCTCTTCTAGTTCCATATTGTGTTGCATATAATCTGAGTTCTTCTCCTCAAGGATCCTGACCTGCCGCTTGAGGTCACTCAGCTCTTCCAATTTCTTTTTATATGTCTCCATTGTGCCCTCATAAACTACTGCGCGCTCACTCATCTCTCTTAGGGCATCAACCTAGTAAGAGAACATTATATATATGATATATATTTTTGGACTTATCTACCTAAATAGACTGTCTAATCCATATCCATGTGTACCCCTGTATAGACATGAATAACTATTTTTTTAAAGTAGAAAACAGCAAGCCTATGTAGCCTTAACATCCAAATAATTACTATTAAGAATATTCTGCATGCCTATCTTTTATGCACTGGGTTCTATCACTGCAGAATAAAATAATGAAACAACATACTTCATCCTTGAGAGATCGTGCTTCATCTGCCAGTTGTTGCAGCTCCTCATTTCGTGCCTGGATTTCCTGGTTCTCTCTCTCTAGGACTTCAGCTTTTGTTCGGTATTCGTCTCGGGCTATGGATAATAACAGTGATTTTCTATAGTCAGAAGCAACTAATGTAAGTAAGTCAGATATACATCTTAGATATTTGGCATGAAACATCAAAGGACTGCTAACAAAAAGGTAAATCAACCAAACCACTTTGCAAAACTTATAACCAGAAAACTTACATGTCTCCAGTTTATAGAGTTCATCCTGAAGCCCGTCGATTTGCTTCTTGAGGTCCTTGTAACGCAGGGTCGAAGTGCCCAAGTCCCCTCCTGTCTCTAGGGCATCAAGCCGATTCAACAGCTTCTCATTCTCAGTTGATAATGTGCTCTTTTCTTCATTCAATACAGAGAGCTGGGGGAAGAAATAGTCTGTGTAATGCATGACTATAATTCATGGGGAGAGAAGAAAAGGAAGAGCAAAAGGAGGTAGAGGTCAAGGTGAAAGTGGAGGAGGAAGTGGAGGTGGAGCAGGAGGTAGAGGAGGAATAGGACAGTGGTTCCCAACACCATGGCCACAACCCAAATGAGGGTCACCAGGGTTTTCCTGAGATTCACCAGAGAGTCTTAAAAGAAGAATAAAAGAATCCGTAGCTGGATATGTCAGTAAAAGTTAATGTTTTTTACTAACACATGTTTATTGAAAGTCAATGTGTTGGTAATATAAACCTATAGACAACAATGAAAATGGTTGGATATATTACTATATTTTGACATATTTAGTTAGCCCAGGCTAAGATTGTCTTTAGGGTCACACCCAAAAAAGTTTAGGAAACACTGGAATGGGAGGTGTAGGAGGAGGAGGAGGAGGAGGAATAATAGGAAGAGAAGGAGGAAGAGGAGGAGGAGGAAGACATAGAGGAGGGGAGGGGGGAGGGGGGAGGGGGGGAGGAGGAGGAGGAGGAGGAGGGGAGGAGGAGGAGGAGGAGGAGGAGGAGGAGGAGGAGGAGGAGGAGGAGGAGGAGGAGGAGGAGGAGGAGGAGGAGGAGAGGAGGGAGGAGGAGGAGGGAGAGGGAGGGGAGAGGAGGAGAGAGGGAGGGAGGGAGAGAGAGAGGAGGAGGGAGGGAGGGAGGGAGAGAGGAGGGAGGAGGGAGAGAGAGAGGGAGGGAGGGAGAGAGAGAGGGAGGGAGGAGGGAGAGGGAGAGGAGGGAGAGGAGAGGAGAGAGGAGGGAGAGGGAGAGAGAGAGCAGGAGAGGGAGGGACAGAGGGAGAGAGAGAGCAGGAGAGAGGGAGGGACAGAGGGAGAGAGGGAGGGAAGGGAGGAGGGAGGGAGGAGGGAGGGAGGGGGAGGGAGAGGGAGAGGGAGAGGGAGAGGAGGAGAGGGAGATGGAGATAGAGGGGGGATGAAGGAAAGGAGAGACGGAAAGGGAAGGAAAGGATCAGAAGGAGCAGCAGAAAACAAAAAATAAATAAAAAACGAGGTGGAGAAGACCTCTAGGCTAAAAGAAAATGCACAAGACTTCCGCCGAAAAGAAGAAAGAAAAGACTAAAGAGGCCGCGGCACCCACCTGCTGCTCCAGCTCGAGGCACCTCTGCATCATCTCGTCCCTGGTCTGCGTGGCGGCCTCCAGCTGCTCCAGGACCGTCTTGATGTGCGGGTGGAAGGACGCGGGCCCGAGCTCCGTCCGCGGGTCGCCGTCGGGCCCGAGGAGTCCCGGCGAGCTCTCCCTCAGCATCAGCTCCTGGATGGCCTCCATGATGACCTTCTGCACGCGCTCCTCCATGTTCATGATGGCCTCGATGTACTCTGCGGGGGGAATTCCACTGTCAGGCGGGCGGACACGAGCGAGGCTTCAGTTTCGAAATTCCATCCTTAGAGAGCACCATTTTTCCCTATTCAAATTACTTTTCAGTGGATGAACTGCTAAACGGAATCTGACCACCGATTTTGAGTCATTTTAATAAAAAGATAAAGATGTTTTTAATATCGGACGAGTTAATAAGCACGAAGGGACAGAGCGGATTCGCTACTGACAATACATGTCAAAATTTGGTGCAAACTCTTATCATTTCAACGTTTGCCTAACCCGATTATCTATCAACTTCATTGTTGTAAAGTAATGACTAATATCAAGTATTAAGCTTATGCTGATAAGCAGAAAGATAAAACGATTTGCACATTATACAACCGCATCATGTGTACCTACGTTACGGGAAGGCCCTCGTTTTGGGCAGCTGTGAAAATCAACATTAATCTACGAGGGCATAGCTCATCCTAAAACAGGAGGGCGAGTAATCAATAATAATAATAATAATAATAATAATAATAATAATAATAATAATAATAATAATAATAATAATAATAATAATAATAATAATAATAATAAAAATAAAAGAAAGAACATACATATATATATATTATATATATATTATATATATATATATATATATATATATATATATATATATATATTATATATACAGCGAGAGCGATATAATACTCGGGGTACGTGACGACACTCAAGCGACGAAGAAAACGAGGCAAAGCCTGACCAACGACAACAAGCCCCGGCCGAGAGTGCACGCTCGGTACTCAACGAGCCTGAAACGCAGGTGCATTCCTCCCAACCGGAATGTCGAGTCTGGTACGGGAGATAAGGTTGCAGAGGGGACGCGCGGAGGAGCAAGGAGCGTTATGTGCTTCTAATTAGACGGCGCGACTCGGGTGCTCCCTCCCTGGCTCGTGGCACGGCAAGACGCTTTGAAATCACGGGGGTGCCCGGACTTATCTTCATTCTTCCGTCTCTTAACTGACTTCATTATTCCCATGATTTACTCAATTATTTCCATGATTTATTTTACAGACAAACGACGCTGGCACTTACGTTGTTTGCTTTCGCAGTTAACGGCGCAGCCAAGGATCAGCTGCAACATCCGCCCGAGCTCCACTTCATCGTTGTGCTCGCCTGAAATAAACATAAAATAATCAATGATAATGCTACACTTTTATATGTAAACATTCTAACAAACATGCAAAATAGCTAATGATAAGACAAAGTCGTTTAATTAGGCAACATGGGTCATTTAAGCGTGAGAAATTCAGGGACTGTGGCAAGACCGTCACCTGGCCTATATGGTTCAAACATTACCCGACTCATTAACTATAATTACACGTCCAACCACAACACGGGGGTGGGGCGGGCGGCGTATGACCCGCCTTTACTTTCTTCCCGGTATCTCGTTCCGCCCTTCCACTAAGTGAAACACACAAGCTGAGACCCTAATCAGTCAAAGCCAGTAAGAAACTAAAATGAAAAAAAATCCCGCCGACATGTCCATCCCCTTCCTCGAGACACAGGTGAATCCCTCCAGCTTAGCCCCCCCCCTCCTTCCGTCCCCCCCTCTCCCCTCGCGTGACATCGGAAGGCCCCCGCGAGACCCCGGAAGAAGCGGACCTTACGACGACGAACCGCGGGGAAACGGGGAGACGAACAAGGTCTATGGAAGTCCTTCTCTAG